GGCGGTGCCAGGCCTTGAACAAGAAATGTCCAATCCGGTGGGTTCCTGAGGCCTGGATCAAATCTTGATGGCCCCAGGGCTGGGAAACGGCTTCTGGGTGCCGAAGCGAAGAAAAACGACGGGGCTGAAAAAACAACAAACGAACACAAACAAGTAGTTCTGGGTGACCGCCCATCCCCTCGTTCAACCAGCCCTCGCGTGGCCTGCTCGAGGACGGCCTCGAACATGGCGTCTGTCAGCAACTGCGCGGTGAAGAGGCGGGGCCAGCTCAGATCCCGCTCGCACCACTCAACGAAACGATCTCCCCAGGAGGTGTCTGGAGGTCTTCGAAGCCTCCCGAGGCCCAGGATTGTCCAAACACCTGCATGCCTCTTCTCATGCCTCCCCGTCCTGCTCGTGCTGACCCTGTTCCTGCTGCCGAACATCCTCTTCCCCCTCGAGGAGGAGGAAGAGGAGGCGAAGGAGGAGGAGGGAGATGAGGAGGAAGGAAGTGGGCGAGGAGGAGGAGGAGGAAGTGGTGGAGGTTGTGGAGGCGAGGAAGGGCGAGAAGGGCGAGGAGAAGGGCGAAAGCGCGCCTTGTTGGGCAAGCCAGAAATGGTCGCGGTGTAGGCGGACCACTGCTCCTGGTGCACTTCTACCTGTCCGGGCTCGAGTAGGCAACAGGCGGCCATCACGATCACGATCAGGATCTGGAGATCGAGGCTCGAGGATCGAATCTTGAAATCGCAGGACCTCTGGATATGTTTGGAGTTCTCTGGCGACGTCGGGGGGCCCTTGGATCTGGCGCCACGGAAAAATCGTGACGGCCTTATTTTTCGCAATTTGAGCCTCTGGAAACCTAGGTGTGGAAACAACAACATGAAGATGTATCCTCACCCTCCGCTGTTATTTGAAGATCGTCAGCAAGTCAGTCACACGAGCAATTCAACCCTTCAGGGCCGACCGACTGGTTTCCAATGCGCATCTGCATCTGCGCTAAACTCGTCAACACGAGCTATTCAACAAGGTGAGAGCGCATTCCAAATCCGCTTGCCTTGGAAAATGCCCAGAAAAGAGGAGGTCTTGACACTTGTTTCCGAAAACAATTCCGGAGACGTGCTCTGACGCCGACCCCCCAAACCCTCCCCCCACCCTGGCGAAAGGGGGAGTGGAGGGTTTCGGATCCCTCCCCGGCCTGTCGCAAGAGGGGGTGGGGTGAGAACCATCCCCCTTCTCGCCGCCGTCGTCGTCATCGTCCCTCGCCGTCGTCGTAGTTTGCAGGCGGAGAAAGGGAGGGGGTCCAAAACCGCCCTCCCCCCTTGCCTTGAAAGTGGGTTTCCGGAACCTCCCATCACCCCTATGCGCCAGGAAGACGTTTCGTGAACCTCAGGGAGCTCCGCCGACGGCCGTAGAGGCAGGGTTCGCGCGCGTTCACCCCACCAATTTCGCACACTTCTGTGACGGATCGTGTCCCATAGGGAGCTCCACCCACGACCTCAGCGGAATTGTTTGTACGCGTCCCCCACTCATGCCGACACATCCACAGATCGTGCATACAGAGGTACATCACCAACGTTACCGAAATCTGCTAGGCTTGGGCTCCTCGCCTAGCTACCTTGTTTCAACGCGCGGCCTCCAGAAGTCTCGACCCTTCCCCCAAGTCTGTCTTTCCATCCAGCCGTTTTTTGACAGCCCCTGGGCCAAACAAGGGCCCCAAGAGGCCGAAGACGGTAAAAACTTCACCTTGCTCTTGCGTCTTACTGCATTGGCGGTATGTGTTCTGCCCCCCCCCCGGCGTGATCGCCTCCTCCGACAGAAGGCAGGCCGCCGCCACGGCGCCGGCGGCGGACTCCTCCAGCGGCGGCTCCTAGCAACGTAGGGGCGAGCAGGGGGCGAACGACAACGCATGGAGACGACAGCAACGGCGACGGACGGCGAACGACGACGGTGACGACGACGGCGACGACGGACGACGGACGACAAGCGACGGACGGCGGACGACGGACGACAGGTGACGGACGCCAGACAGCGGACGACAACGACGACGACGAACGGCGTCGTCGACTCGACGACGGCGGTGAAGACGACGTCGACGTCGATGGCCACATCGACGTGCGCTGCGCGCCGTGCGCCCTCGCAGTCGCTGCGTTCCTCGCACTCGCCCGTCCCCCTCTCTCATCCACCCTCCTCCTCCACTTCCTCCTCATCCTCCTCCACTTCCTCCTCCTCCACTTCCTCCTCCTCCTCCAATTCCTCACTTCCTCCTCCTCCTCCTCCTCTTCCTCCGAACCTTGAAGGGCGGGCCCTGTCACAAATACGTGTTTCGGTGCGGATCGTAAGCGCGCCTCGTCTTCGTCGTCGTCGTCGGCGGCGGCAGCGTCGCCGTGGTGCGTCTTGCTTCCCTTATTCGATGATCACCTGGTACCTTCACCCCTCACTTCCTCCTCACCCTCCTTAGTGCCTTAACGGGGCGGGCCGGCCTGTCAAAGACTAGAGCCCTCATACGCCCCTTCCACCTCGGCCAACCGCCAGGTGGAGGGGTATTTAGCAACATGATTGTCATTATTCGACGCGGAGATCCCCATGCGTGCATATCTTTTCTGACGGTTTCCATGTCTATGACTGCCCGAGTATCAGCGAGTCTGAGTGATTGAGAATTACTGGGTCTGAATGAAAGTGAGTCTCTGTATCGGTGGGCTTCCACTGGCGGGTCCTCCTGCGCATACTCATCGCCTGCTACATCACAGTGGCCATGGGGCTCTGAAAAGACACCTGCCTAAATGCCCCAATCGGCAATTTTGCCTGAGACGAGACGTCCACAAATTCAGGGCACGAACGGGCCAATGCAACACCCCCTGGTGACTCCCCTCTGATAATGCCGTGCCTGCTGCGTCGCGATGATCATGCGACGCTGAAGAGGTACACGTCTACCCCTTCAAAGCGGTCAGCCTGTCTGATAGATCCAAACAATTAGGGCGCGAACGGGTCCGTGCAGAACCCCCTGGTGGCTTCCCACTTCGGGAGGCCCAAATGCCATGTCTACTACATCGCGGCGCTTATGGGGCCTCTGCGAAGAAACTCGCCCACTGAGCCGAAACAGGCTTTTCGCCAAGGAGGTCCCCACAATCTGGGCGCGAACGGGCCCGTGCAACACCTCTAGTCGTCATCCCCTTGGATGGCCCAAATGCCATGCGTGCTACATCACGGTGATCATGGGGCTCTGAGAAGAGACATGCACACTGGGCGAAAACATGTTTTTATCTGATAGGTCCCGGCAATCGAGGCGCAAATGGACACGTGCAACACCCTCTGGCAACGACCACTTGGGAGGCCCGAGTGCATTCCGTGCTACGTCGCGATGATCACGGGCGTGAGTAAGGCTGAGTATAAGTCTGAATGTGAGAGGGTATGGACATCGTTGGGTCTGGATACATCTGCATATGAGCCTGAACGTTTAGTGTATGAGTGTACGTCTGGCTGCGTGAATATGAAATTGAGTGCCAGTGTGCCTGCGTGTTGAATGTTTGCGTGTGAGACGTCTGAGGAAACAACATTGGGTACGAATGCATCCGAATGGGTCTGAGTGTGGGTAAAGCTGAATAGTGGCGGACCAATGTGAGTAACAGAGCATGACGAGCAGAGTATGCGAGGGAGAAGGAAGCGGGAAGGAGGAAGGAGGGGCACGGATACATTACACGAATAGCGCACAAAGCATGCGTATGGTATGAGGGAACTGAAATACCCTTTGCTCCTTGCGAAACAGATCGGATGAGAAAGAAGGGAACGACAACACGGCGGAGACGACAGAAGGACTGCCGGGAGGAGGGGGGACAGGCTGCGCATCGGCTGCGCAGCGGTGTCGGTGGGAGGCCCGAGCGCGGGTTCCACCCTCCCGAGGGAGAGGGAGTGACCCACCTTGGCGCGTCCTCCTCCTCCTCCTCCTCCTCCTCCTCCTCCTAGTCTTCCTGCTGCTGCTGCTGCTGCTGCTGCTGCTGCTGCTCCTCCTCCTCCTCCTCCTCCTCCTCCTCCTCCTTTGAGGGGGGACCCATCAGCCTCCTGTCCATATCCTGCATTAGCAAGGCAGGGATAAATGATGCAACATCGTGGGAGTAATGAGAGCTGTACGGCGAGCAACCTGCGTCCGGTGTGCAGGCGAGTGAGGAAGGTTTGGCGGGTAGTACGTGAGGTGTGCCCGCAGTGCGGCCCGAGCGGGAACCATACTACCTCCGAGGGGGGGGGGTAGGGGCCCTCCTCGGCCTGGCGCTTGGTGTCTCTCCGCTGCGCGGGACGGCCGAAAGCGAACTCCATGACAGCGCCTCACCCCCAGCCGCCCCTCAGGTCAGCACACGCCTCCCCTTCCCGTAATTAGCGCCGAGGAGCGCAGGATCAGAGGTGAAGTTCAGAGGGATTGGCGCAGACCAGAAGATTCGGAATATGGCAGTCGCGGTAACCACTGAGAGTTGAGAGAGGTCGGTGGCGCTGGCGTATCAGGGAGTGGCGTGGGTGGCGCTGCGTGGCAGAAGCTGGAATCCGCCGACCCCCGCTTGCCGGGGGTGCAAAGGCGTGTGAGACAATTTGCTCGCCCCCCTCCCCCTGTCCACCTCCCCCAAGGCCCAACATCTTGTTTAAAGCGGGGTGTATCCGAGCTCCTTGGCGCACCCTTAGAGCCTCCAAAGCCTCCAAATCTACATTCCGTGGCCTCTGCGACGTTTCCGCATCGCCGAACGATCGGGACAAGACACCTAAGATAGCTCCAAGACGGCCCGAGAAGTCGAGAAGCCTTCCAAACGCTCCCAGACAGGACAAGGACTCGTCCCAAGAGGGCCCCGAGCAGCAAAAACAAATAGTTGTCCTTAGGTTTTTCAATGCTTGCAAGCTTCTCGCCTTCTTGAGTTTCCGACGCTCCAAGACGGCCACAGTGGCCCCGTAGACCGCTCGAAGACTGCCCAAGAGGGCCCCAAGAGGGACCAAAGACAGACAATGCTCGCCCCGAAAGGGTTCCCCAAAAAGCCCGAGGGGGAGCACGAACCGGAAATCCGAGCTTTCCGCCCCAAGAGGCCCCGAACAGGCCCCACGAAGCCTCCAAGCCCCCCGAGAGGCCAAAAAGAGGCTCCAAGAGGCGTCCAAATGGCCACCAAGACGGTCCTAAGAGGGCCCCGAGTAGCAAACACCAATGGATTACCACAAGCTTCTCAATCCGCCGATCTGGCGTGTGAATTTGAAAGAGCGTGGGCTTGAGCTTCGCTCGAGCTCTGCTCTGTGGGGGGGGGGGGGGCGGTGCCCGCTTTCCGCTCTGTCGCAGCTCCGCTCTTTGTGTAAATGTGTGTGTGTGTGGTGGGGGGGGGGGTGCGATGTGCTCCGCTTTCCGCTCCGTCGCAACTCCGCTCTGTGGGGGACGGGGGGGGGTGCGATGTGCTCCGCTTTCCACTCCGTCGCAGCTCCGCCCTGTGGGGGGGGGAGGGACGAAGGAGAAGGAGGTGGGGGGGAGGGACGAAAGGGAGGAAAGAAATGACAGGCAGGGGGGAAGGAGAAGAAACGCACAGGACTGCTGCCAATAGCAGCGGGAGCCCCCCAGATCGGCGGCACTGGCCTGAGGCCAACACAATATTTGTTGCGGTTCTGACTCGGAACTCGGACTGACTTTTCGAGCCGCCCCCCCTCAGAAGAGAACCGACGAAACCGCCAAATGGCGCCCAAGAGCCCTCAAATGGTCCCCTTGAGAATCCCAAAAACCTCCTCACCCGCTCTTCGGGGGGTCGGCGGAATGGCGTAAGCCACTTGAATAGAGGTAGTGTTGCAGTCGATGCCGTAGAGGCCGCTACGGCGGACGCCCTGCTGAGTGTTCAAGGTGTGCGTCGAGTGCCTCGACTGCCCGCAAACTGTGCAGGAGGCAGGGGTAGCCTGCGGCGAAAGCGGTCGAGAGGTGGTCGTTTAGGAACGGCTGCGGGATCGGAGCCGCGCTCAGGAGTGGCATCTGCACCTGAACCTTGCTGGTGGGTGTCCAGCCTGGCGATGGGAGTGATCGGCGCGCCTGCTCGCAGCGGTGGGGCATGGGATGTATGAGTTGGCGGCAAATTCTTGGCATAATAGTATGCTGGCTCGCCCTCTGCAAGTAGGCCCGCGCCACGAGTCCAGCAATGGAGTGCATCGGTAATTGTCCGAGGTCCTCCGAAGAGGTGGTCGTAAACAGAGGGGACGGGGCTGACGTGCGTTAACGGCCAAGCCAGCGCGGAAAAGGAGGAATCTGGAGGATGAGGAGGCCAACGACTATGAAACAACTCGCGCGTGCGCAGACTGCTCAAGGAGGACCGCTCTCGCACCAAAGCCATCGCGAGGCCAGTCGAGATAGACGAGGCTCCTCCTCCTCCCCCTCCTCCCCTCCCCCTCCCCCTCCCCTCCCCCTCCCCTCCCCCTCCCCCCCCCTCCCCCTCCCCCTCCCCTCCCCTCCCCCTCCCCCTCCCCCTCCCCACTCCCCCTCCCCACCCCTCCCCCTCCCCCTCCCCTTCCCCCTCCCCTCCTCCCTCCTCCCTCCCCCTCCTCCCCCCTCCTCCCCTCTCCTCCTCCCCCTCCTCCTCTCCTCCCGCCTCCTCCTCCTCCGCCTCCTCCTCCGCCGCCTCCGCCTCCGCCTCCCTCCGCCTCCTCTCCCCCTCCTCTCTCCTCTCTCCTCCTCCTCCTCCCTCTCCTCCCTCTCCTCCCTCTCCTCCCTCTCCTCCCTCTCCCTCCCCCTCTCCTCCCTCTCCTCCCCTCTCCTCCCTCTCCTCCCTCTCCTCCCTCCTCCCCTCTCCCATCTCCTCCCTCCCTCCTCTCTCCTCCCTCTCCTCCCTCTCCTCCCTCTCTCCCTCTCCTCTCTCCTCTCCTCCCTCCTCCTCTCTCCCTCTCCTCCCTCCTACCTCCCTCTCTCCTCCTCCTCCTCCTCCTCCTCCTCCTCCTCCTCCTCCTCCTCCTCCTCCTCCTCCTCCTCCTCCTCCTCCTCCTCCCCTCCCTCTCCTCCTCCTCCTCCTCCTCCTCCTCCTCCTCCTCCTCCTCCTCCTCCTCCTCCTCCTCCTCCTCCTCCTCCAAGAGGGGAGCGCAAAAAGCAGGAGAAACCACGACAGGCTGGAGCCCGACATACGGCGTACGACACGGCGACCGCAGGCGGTGGCTCACGCGGGCCTCCAGCGCGGCAGACTGCGTGGAGAGGAGGGCGCTCACGCGCGCCATTGCGCGGGCAACTCACGCGCATGTGCACCCGGCTGCCTGGCACTGACACGGCCCCTCTTCGGGTCAAGACTGGTCGAGCCTGGACTTTTGCCAAGTTGGCCACCGCCCGCTCCTGTGCCCAATGGCCCCGCCCTGTTGGTGGGGCGGCGGCGGGGGGGGCCTCCGTCGTCACGCTGGCTGCGCTGGTGCTGCAGGAGGAATACGCCTGGATTCCGAGCTTTTTTTGCACGTTCGACCATGGATCCCTCGCCAGCCATCGGCCTTCAGCGGTCTTCGGCGGTCTGTCCCTGCTGGGCATCTGCGCTAAAGCTCGCTGGTTTGGTTTCCCAAGGGGTCCATGATCGGACATCTGGGGTCCTCCGCCGCCGCCGCCCTCGTCGTCGGAGTTGTCGTCGCCGTCGAAGACGACGACGACGACGACGGCGGGCGGCAGCGGCAACGGGCGCTGTGGAGGAGGGAGGAAAAGGACGAGGAGAAGGGAGGAAGAGGATGAAGGAGGAAGGAAGAGGAAGGAGAGGGAAGGAGGGAGGAGGGAGGACAAAGAGAAGGGATGGGAGGAGGGAGTAGGGAAGCGGAAGAGGAGGGAGGGAGGAAGGAGTGGGGTGGGGGAGGAGGGAAGAGTCGATCGTCGCCGCCGTCGTGGTCGACGACGACAAAAATCACCCCCCACAGGCGGCGCGGAGGCGGTCCACGCGCTGCCTTGGTGCGCCCCGCCCGGGCGCCGCCCCCGCGCGCGGCCGCCTTCTCCAGGCCGGGGGGCGCGCACATGGCCTCGCGTCGACCGGTCCAGCCACGCCACGAAGGAGGGACCGGGGATGGAGGAACATCGAGGATCGGGGCGGCCGCCGAGCGCGCCCCGATACTCCTCGATCCTCGATGGACGCCTCCGGGGCCCCGAGAATCTCGACAGGGACCCAAACTTCCAAACCCTCGTTCTTCGACGCTTCCTGGAGGAAGAGGGGGCGGGAGGGGGAGGGGGAGGGGGAGGGGGAGGAGGGGGAGGGGGTGGAGGAGGAGGAGGAGGAGGAGGACGAGGAGGAAGAGGAGTACGCAGCATAGAAGGGAACCGTCGCGCATAACACAAACGGCCACTTTCAAAGGGCCCACTGCCTTGGCAGCGGGCCGAGCGCTGCTCGCGGCACCACTCGGTGCCCACCCAAGGGGGGTCGCGGCGGAGAGGCGCCACAACGCAGCTGTGCAACAAATAAGTGAAAGCGAAGAGCTTAGATTTGTGATGAATTCGCGAATTAATCAACATGCATTAGGCGTCTACGCGAAGCCAGGCGACCTCTGGGTCGGCAACTTGCAAACGTCTCTGCCCCGAGATGCTCTCAAATCGGTGCAGATCGGCAGGATGCCTGTTAGTATTAAACCTGTGGATGTGGGAATGACCTCGCTTGGAAACTGGGGGCGGGGGGCACGGGTCCAAAAGTGAGGACGCTCTCCCCATAGAAATCCCTCCACACAACAGACAAATGACAACCTTGCCTGGGGCCACGAAGAGTTCGTGCCCCCTGGCCGCGCACGGAGGAAGGTCACCTTGCTCGGGCAGCTCGGCCACGGGACGCGCACTCGGCGCAGTCGAGCCCCACGAAGGGGCAGGCGGCGGGCCTTGCACGGCGGCTTAGGCTCGTCGGAGGAGCGAGGGTGAATTCGATCGGCAGCAGCAGAGGCGGCAGCGTCGACGTCGCTTCGGAAACGCACCCTTCTCTCGCCTGCGAGCGGAAAAGCATCAGAGGCGAGGCCAGCATGACGTATGCGCGGGGGGAACTCTCTCCGCGATCGGCTCCGAAGCGGCTCTGGGTACCCTTCGGGGGGCCTCGGGCGCGCTCGGATCCCGTCCGCAACTCCTTCCCGCGAGACCCCCCCGCCCAATCTATCGCGAGCAGCGAGCTTAGCTGGACAGACTCGGCGCACCAGCATCTTGCGTTGGGCCTCGGAGCAAGTGTTGCGGCCGCAAGTGAAACATCTCCAACCACCACGCACAGCATACATAGTATGCAAACAGTTTTGAACTTGACCAGCACCCCCCTCCGCCCGCGACAACCGAAGGCGACGACGTTCGTGGAAACGTTTCTGGCCAGGGGGGGCGGTCCGTTCCATGTATAAAGTGTGTGCTTTGGCCATCAAAACAAACGTTTTCTTGACTGACAACGCTGAAACGAGCTTTCACGGCCTTCACCTGGGCATGCGGAGCCGCGTGGAGGCCCCTGCCTTGGACGGCAGCAATATCGGCCCACCGATTCCCTCGGGCCTCAACAGATCGACCTGTCTGATGGCATGGCGTGAAAAGAATCTTCAAATCTGGGCTCAGTCCTCCAAGATCCTCTATTCTCGTCCAAGTCTTGGTCCACAGATCTGCGCCCGGTCGGCGCGGCCAGCAGCGCAAACGTTTGCCTCTGGCAAGACCCTGTGGCAGCTCGATGAAGTCGGCCCACACTGACACTGGAAACAGAGCCACCTTGAGGAGCTGGGCAACCGCATGCATCTCGGCTCGCGGGCTGCTCTGTATTGGGCCAGGCAGAGCCCCAAAGACGCGCATCTCGACGGTCGATTCTGCGACTCGGGCGAAGCCCCACCCCGCGCGGGTGGCCTCCTTCCAATAGTGGCACTTGTGGCACGCCCCGCCCGTAAAGGCAACTCCTGACACAACCGAACAATCCCCGCATATGGAATGCCACCCCTTCGGGTTGTCACGTGGCGGTACTCCGGGCAGAAGAGCCTTGGAGTAGAGGCCGCGATTCCAAAACCAAGCAGTGGTGGTAGGATATGGCAAAACCTCGATGTCTGCGCCGTTGTAGAGCGAGTTCCCCCCGTCCCCCGTCGCATCACATACCCAAGGAATATGGAAGCAATCAGCTACAATGCGGGCGTCTAAAGTACATGTGGGGCTGTCAACATAGCCGAGGGAATGGCGACGGACAGGCGGCCAGAATCCACCCATGGCCAATGCGCGAAGTGCGCCCGCCTGCTGGAGAGACAGAACGCGAGGGCGCTCGGGGCCCTCATTTCCACGGGCCCGTTGAAGGACGGCCAGTGCAGGGTCCAGCCAGTAGCCTGTTGGTGTCTTGGAGCCCAGGTGCTCAAAACCTCGGTTGGGCCCGCTGGCCCAGTCGATCCACGACCCCCGCGCTGCGGCTTCGCAAGCAAGGTACTTGAGCGCACGGGGAGAGAAAGTCCTCGGGTCCAAAACGTCTCCAAGGTCAGTCCGAACATGCAAGGCCGAAGGCGCAACCCATCCAAGCTATGTCATAGCAAGTACCGCGGCCCCTGCAGGTCCTCCAGCGCGCCCCCAAGGATGAGCAGATTGCAGCACCGCTGGCGCCGTGCGCTGCCACGCCTGTTGTAGAGTGCCGTGGTGCCCCGAGTCCCAACATAGAAGGCCCCGCTGGTATATAGGGTCGACCCAAGCCGTGATTGAGGGCCCTGCGATCCCCCACTGCGAAGGAAAGACGATAGCCAAGCAGAGCCCCCCTTCCCAGGTGCATACCACGAGCCCCTGAGGGCCGCGCGCATAGCCCGTGCAAATTGCGGCGGCGCTCCGTGTGCGCCCGCGCCATGCGTCAGAGCAGATGGGATCGCAGCCTTAGCACATCGGCAAGCCAACTGTCCTGCCCTCTTGATACGTCGGAGTCGTGTTTGGCGCCTCTGCATCTTGCGTAGTCGACTACGCAGGCGTGAGAACTTGAGAGATTTCCCTGGTGATGCCTCCACGCCGAGAACCTCCAAATAATCGAGGGAACGATTTCCCAGATCAAACAATACCCGACACACCCGCTTCGCAATATGCATGTAAGTTGCTGTGACTGTCATCTTCCTCTTGGCGGGAGCCAGTTGTAGATGCTGCAATGCATCGACCACCCCTGGCAAAACCTGGCAGGCATGTTTCGGCATCCGTTCCCGGCTGGCCACGATCTGCATCGTGAGACCGTCAGCGCACACATGCAAAGCCATATCGACCGAGACCGAGGATGTCGCCAGATCGCCGAGGGGGGTGAACATGACCAGCTATAGCATGTACATCGCCAAGCTACACCCAGGCAAGACTCCCCGATATGCCCAAACACCTCCCGAGTAAACTCCTGACCACGAAAATCTACGAGGGGCGACATACATATGTAAAGCGAGAACCAGTAGGGGCCAGGGAACCCGCGTTGGAGCCCCGCGCGCACGATGATAGCGCACCCCACGCGACCGAAGCACTTCTCAATGTCAACAGTGGCATGTACACACACAAGGTCGTCGCAGCGCATATTTTTCTGAAGCGGGCGCGCCTCTCCATGAAGCAAGACCCGCGCTGCAACGTCTGTCGTCGCACGGTTGGCGCCCAGCGCCAAGTTGTCACGACCGAGCAGATTCGCCCAGTCTCTCACAAAATCCAATCGGGCCTTGGCACGCAGGCGATATGGCGAAACCAATAAGGCGATCGGTCGGTAGCCACCTACAGGCTTCTGTAGTAGGACTATGTGCACCTGCTGCATGTATCTAAGCCATGCTCCCCACTGTTCACACACGTAGAAGAAATGCCCCGAGACTGCCAAAGCCTGATCCGACACAAGGGCCCAATGAGGAGGCCTCCAAGAGTCCGCCCCCGCAGCGGTTCTGACGGGGCAGGACTCGGCGGCCTTGCGGAGCCTGGAGGTCCCAATGGGCGGCGCGCGAAGCCCAATATCCCGCAGACGGTTGGGTTCATCTTGCAGGGGCTCAAGCGAGGTCGGTGCACCTCCCCCGCCCCAGGTGCCCCCCAAAAAATCTCGCTGCGCATTGGCCACATCGTCGTCGTAGTTGGAAGGGGCCCAAGGAGGTGTGTACCTGGCTGAGCTGCCACCCTTTCGGTTTCGTCCATCTATGAACTGGCTTCGGGCGATTGCTCAAGCTGTCGCGTAGCCACTGCGAAAGAAAACCCTTGCCACGAGCGCGTGCCACGCGTTGTTCCCCACTGACCCGCCAGCGTCGCAAGGCTCGCTGCAACCGCTCGAAGCGCCGGAACATGCATCCAAGTGGGTTGCGAAAAGATAACACTGAGGTAGTATGCAAGCTCGGCCAGGCGCATTGCTGGCATCACTTGCGCCAAACGCGCAAGCCGTCCTTTCCCAGCAATGAGATCTCGTAGCGGTTGCCACGCTGAATGATGCTTGGCTTCGGGAATCGACCCGTGCTTGCGCGCCGCGCGGGCAAGGTCCTCAACTCGGCGCTGTAGCGTCAGTAGAACACGAGAGTATGTAGTGCCAGCAGGCTTGTGCTGCGATAAACTTCAGCCAGCGATGCTGCGATGGTATTCGCGCCCACTTCCGCGCCCAGCATGCTTGGAAGGATCGTCGCACGGGAAGAGCGGGAGCAGCTCCTTCCCTACCCCACGGCACACTGCTTGACACATGTTATCAAGGCGATCTTGTCTCGCATCATCCGTCCCAGAGATGTGCATCGGCCTCCGTGAGTCCCATCCAAGAACAACCAGGATGCCCCAGCTCAACCGCATTCGCAAGAGGACCGTCGTCGCTTTCCAACAGTGGTAAGCATGCTGGCTTTGGCGCGCATAGGCTCGGGGCCTTGAGCCCGACGACCTGCGGGGCTCTGGGTCGGGGCCCGACGCCCACGGCCATCGGGTAGCGCGGGCGGGCAGGGCAATCCGCAACCCGGCGAGCGCGCGCCATCTCCGCCGCCAGGCTGCTGCTGGCAACCCAGTAATCTAGAAAAGTATGTTCACCCGTCTTTGCCACTCTGAGCGAGCTCTGTGAAGCAACGACCAGATGGCCGTCAATCTTCTCAAC